TTAAAAGCATGCTTGATTTAATGATAGAACCTGCATTCCATGTTTGATATCTGAAATTTACCTTGCAGATAAATACTTCAGAAGTTGTTTTCAGTTAAGTGTAAAAAGACAGGCTATGCCTTTCCTTTCCTATGCTAATATGATTTCACTGTGACCATGTTACATGCAAAATCAGATTTGCTTGTTTGACCAACACAGTTAAAGCAAGCAGCCCCATAAATGCAGCATCCTCAGTATTATACGAGAAATACACAAGAAACAAAGGGTTTTTGGGTGATATATTTTATTGGGTCAACCGTATAGTTTTGAGAGATGTTAGACAAACTTTTGGGTACAAAGGACCTTCTTGCTTTGTGTCCAAAAGCTTGTCTAACATCTTTCCCATCTAAATGTTGGAGGCATTTCTGTTTGGTCTGTGTCAGAATATCATAGATCTCCTTATTTCTCTTCCCATTTTTATTTGTTGTTAGTACTTATGGTCTTTAGTTGCCTACAAGCTGGCACATTTTTTATTTACCTGTTATTATAGATTGGGTGTGTTTGCTTCCACTTCCACTATTCCCATTATTTTCAGTTGGAAGGAATTGGCCCCTCAGGCCTCCTTGTTTTATCATCCTTTGTTACTAAAGGTTTGTAGTATTGTGATTCCACAAACACAATTCCAGTGAACAATTGCATTCTTAGACAACGAAAACCCTTTATTCATGTAAATGCCCTTGGCATTTAAAACAGAAGTAGCTACACTGAGAAAATGTGTAAGACCAGCAAAATTGCTTCTAAGCAGAATGTTTTAGAAGTTTTCCATGATGCTTCAGCTGCTTTTTAATCATAACACACCATCCATCAATTTTCTAAATAATACAAGACTTCAAGCACAGATTGGTGAATTAGAAAGAAAGATATGTGCCTTAATTCCCTCATGACTTTTAAAAAAGAAATTTTGTATTTAATAACAAGAAATATTTTAAAGATAAAAAACTATGTACTGCAGTCTATAACTGTATTCTTTAGATTCTGCTTGTTAAAGAAGCATCTTTATTTACCAAAAATGTCCCTGAGCCTTTCAAATAGAGTAATAAATTAAGAAAACAATCATACTCTTTATGTCAGACTTGGCAGCAAGCCAGCTACCAACCTGTCATGGAAAGCCATTAAGACCGACTTGCTGTATCAAAAAAAATTTAAAGTGGGAAAATGTTGATCAAGATCTAACTACTCTTTCAGCACTGAAGAAGAAAGTTTGTTGTCCTTATGTATGTATAGACATATAGGCAACTTAACTATATAAAGTACTTCATCCAAAAGATTTTCCCTCGTAGAGGACAAGGATTGTCTGTAATTTACAGATGTTTGTGAAAGAGGTTTTTTTCTACCCATTTACTAAATTGCTTTAGTAAATGCAGTTGTATAAACTGCCAACTCTGGAAACAAGTAGGAATAATCTTTGGATGGTTCGAGTTTTGTTTGCATAGCTCTTCTACAGCTACAAGTAATGTTTTACATTTTTTTCTGGCTGAATAGTTTGGCCTAGAATGGAAGCTAAAAAGTTAGATTTGTGGCTTTGTTAAGACTGATTTCTGTTACAAAAGGTCCTTATTGCATTCAGCTTCATGATTCAGCTTCAAAGTGTAGGTCCCTCGCTGAATGGGGAGGGCAATCTTGTGATAGAGGATGCAGAAAAGGCTGAAGTGCTCAATGTCTTTTTTGCCTCTATCTTCACAGGCAAGGTCATCTCCCAGACCACTGCACCGGTCAGCACAGTTTGGGGAGGAGGCGAGCAGCCCTCAGTGGTAAAAGAACGGGTTTAGGACTATTTAGAAAAGCTGGACGTGTACAAGTCCATGGAGCAGGATGGGATGCACCTGAGGGTGCTGAGGTAGTTGACTGATGTGATTGCAGAGCCTTTGGCTCTCATCTTTGAAAATTGGTGGTGATCAGGAGAGGTCCCTGATGACCGGAAAAGGGCAAACGTAGTGCCCATATTTAAGAAAGGGAAAAAGAAAACTCCAGGGAACTATAGACCAGTCAGCCTCATGTCAATCCCTGGAAAAATCATGGAGAAGATCTTCAAGGACTCCATATCTAAACACTTGGAGGAGAAAAAGGGCAAGGGCAAGTCATGCCTCACTGACCTGATTGCCTTCTATGATGAGATGACTGGCTCTGTGGATGTGGGGAGACTGGTAGATGTGGTGTACCATGATTTTAGCAAGGCTTTTGATACAGTCTCCCCAACATTTGTGCAGGCAAGCTAAGGAATTATGGGCTGGATGAATGGAGTGTAAGGTGGATAGAAAACTGGCTGGGGAATCAGGGTCAAAGGGTAGTAATCAATAGTTTGATATCTAGTTGGCAGCTGGTATCAAGTGGCATGCCCCAGGGGTCAGTCCTGGGGCTGGTTTTGTTCAACGTCTACATCAATGACCTTGAAGATGGCTTAAAGTACACCTTCAGCAAGTTTGCAGATAACACCAAGCTGTGGGGAGTAGCAGATATGCTGGAGGGTATGGCTAGGATTCAGAGTGACTTAGACAAATTGGAGGATTGGGCCAAAAGGAATCTCATGAGGTTCAACAAGGACAAGTGCAAAGTCCTGCACTTGCCACAGAACAGTCCCATCCACAGATACAGGCTGGGGTCTGACTGGCTGGGGAGCAGCTCTCTAGTAAAGGTTTTGGGGGTTACAGTGGACAATAAGCTGAATATGAGCCAATCATGTGCCCTGGTTGCTAAGAAGGCTAATGGCATACTGGTCTGCATTGGTAGATGTGTTGCCAGTAGGTCAAGGGAAGTGATTATTCTTCTCTGTTCAGCACTGGTGAAGCCACATGTGGAGTACTGTGTTCAGTTTTGGGCCCCCCAACTACAGAAAGGATGTAAACAAATTGGATGGAGAGAGTCCAGCAGAGGGTAACAGAAATGGTGAGGGGTCTGGGACACATGACTTCTGAGAAGACACTGAGGGAACTGGGCTTATTTAATCTAGGGAAGAGAAGACTGAGGGGGATTTAATAGCAGCCTTCAACTACCTGAAGGTTGATTCAAAAGAGGATGGAGCTGAACTGTTCTCAGTGGTGGCAGATGACAGAACAAGGAGCAATGGTTTCAAGTTGCAGCAAGGGAAGTTTAGGTTAGATATTAGGAAGAATTTTCCTAGTAGGAGGGTAGTAAAGCACTGGAACAGGTTACCCAGAGAGGTGGTGGAGGCTCCATTCTTGGATAATTTTTTAAAGACCTGGCTAGAGAAAGTTTTGGCTGGGATGATCTAGTTGGGGATTGTCCTGTTTTAAGCAGGGGGTTGGACTAATTGATCTCCTGAGGTTCCTTCCAAACCTCATTTTCTATGATTCTGTGCAAGTTACTGGGCACGCCTGCATGTTAAGCGAGTTTAGTACTTGCTTAATGAAGTAATAACTAAATGTGCCATAACTATAGTTACTGCACAGTAGTTCCAGCTCACAATTTTTTCATGAGCTTACTACGTAGTAGCATAATAAGACTGCATAATAGTGTATTAGCACTGTGCAGCACGCTACTGCACAGTGTTATTAGGCTACTGCACAGTAAGCGTCTTGTGTAGACACACTCACTGTCTAGTTAATTGATGTGACAGCTGGCTCCAGTTCATTACTTGACAAATGCTAAATGATACCAGTATTTAACAAAATGAACTGAAAGTACATGAATACAGTACATCATAAAAATAAAATATTTCAGTTATGCTATGTACTGGTTTCCTGTCTGCGTTGCCTTTGTCTTGCTTACATCACGAACTCACAAGCTCATCCAGCCAGGAACTGCCTGCATTGTGGGTCTTAGGTCCCGGGAAGACATTAATTTAAAGGCAGGATGGGATTTCATGCACAGTCCCAACAGTCTCTCTTGAATCACTGCGTATCAAGAAACTGAGAAAGCATATGGCAGAAAAACCAGAAAGTTCATATCATCTGCTACGGTATATTATTAGATGTACGATATTGCTTAGAAATGGTAACTCTCCTTTCTGTCTTTGTCCATGAAATCTCTACACATGTTTTTTATATTCCTTATGGAAAATAAAATTTACTGTCCAGCTGGGGTTTTTTTCAAGGTAAAAATAGTCGTGTTTTTTATTCATTTGTAGTATGAGCTGAAAATGAACTTCTTGTGACACGCAGCTGCTTTGCACTGGACTGACAGCACAGTCTGGTTGCACAACAGGCATCAGCAACCCCAAAACATTACCTCAGCTGATCCTTTGATGATGCTGTGGATGCTGAAGGGAAATGGAGGCATGGCATTTTTAAATCTGTGACCATTAAAGCCTAGTAGAAATGCAGGGGAAATGGGTTTTACAAGCCTGCATCAGTATTAGGGGACTGTAAAGGTGAGCTTTCAGTTGGTTTTGCAAGCTGTGTCAGCTCTCCTTAGTTAGTTGTGATGCACATTCTTTTGGAGACAGAATAGTTTCCTTATATTTTCTGGGCTTGTTATGTCAAACAGGGAAGTAACAGAAGCATCCATAATATTTCATCGTAAGGAAATACAATTATCTCAGTGAGGCAGAGGGGACAAAAGCTTAGCAGAAATTGCACTGCTGCTTATCTATTATTAGACTCTAGCCCCTGTATTGACACATGTACTATCTATATAGTTAGGACAGTTCTGATTCATAGTGAACTGAATGACATGCATCACTTGGTGCATCACTAAGACTGTGTGTCTTTGCTAGTCAGATACTAAAAAAAATCAAGAGTTTTGTAAAGAGTTCGGCACTATATCTTATTATACATGAACATAGTGCTCATTTTAGATCATCCACCTGATGTGCATTTGGTTTGTATTGTTGAAAGCATATTTATTTTTTTCACAATGGTGTGAAAATATGAAGTGAGGTATGAGGACTAAGAGTTAGTAGTAGTGATTATTATAGTAATGTTAGACCAGTGGCCTTTTCCTTGAAACTGTACCATAAACCTTGATTAGACCAGAACAGTTATATACATTTTTTTTTTGTGCAGCCATATGTCAGCCTAGATGCAAACACGGTGAATGTGTTGGACCAAACAAATGCAAGTGTCATCCAGGATACACTGGAAAAACCTGCAACCAAGGTAAGAAAACAAATTACAATAAAATCTTCTCATGAGACCATAGAAGTATTTTTATCCCAATTAATTAAATGCTAAGTATGTATTATGCACAAATAACAGCAGCTACAATTTTCTATGCACAAATGATTGACTATTCAAAAATGAATCTTTATTCCTGAAAGATGGGACCTGTACACTGCACTTCCAGATCAGTAGACTTTATCTACTAGGTTCAGCAGTGGCTACTCTGCTGCTATTTAGAATAAAAAGCATCACTGCTGTATTGACTCACAGCGGGGATGTATATATGAGATGCTTTATAACGCACTAGACTAATGTGTAGTAAAGCATCAGTGTCTACCCATGCACAGGACTTACTGTGCAGTAAATTTGGCTAATGTACAATTTGCTAGTACCAACAAATACAGGCCCTAGATTAACAGCACATTATAGCTAATGTGCAGTAGCATATATGTCAATGCTGACCATGAGCTGCATATCCCCTCACGTTTCTACCCGCCCCCAGTCCTGGCACTGCTTAAACCCACGCTTGGGCACCGGGCATCACGGGGGAGGTAAGCAGCTAGATGACATGTATACCTTGTACTACCCACCGGGAAGGAGGGCTCCAAGCTGGGAGAAAACCCTTGTCTTCCAAGCAGATCTGAAAGCAGCAGCAGCAGCACACACGTCTCTGCCTGTGCCCTGCTGCTGGGGGAGACTGAAATCAGCCTTCCCTTGAGCCAGGGTGGGAAGGGCTGGGGACTGTGCTCTGTTTACTTAGAGCCCTCAAAATTGACCAGCACTGCAGTGGGGAGAAAAGGAACTGGGTGCAGAGATCCACCAGCCAGCCGGGGACTTCCCTCTGCAGGGCAATCCCGTGCCCACCTTCCCACCCCCTAGGCCTGGCCCTCAATCCTCCTCATTACATGCGATCTTTTTTTCCCACCTAGGCACGCTGATGGCATATTTAACAAAGCCTACAGGAAAGTTCTAGTGCTGCTTCCCCCTCGCATTTCCCCTCCTTCCCTGGTCCTGGTGCTGCCTGCCCCCATACTCAGGAACAGGGCATTGCCCCAAGCCTGTGCTGCTTAGCCAGTCTGTGATCCTGAGCTCCATGAGGCTGGGAGTTGTTCCTTGCTCCAGGACAAACAGCTCCTTCTGCTCCCCAAAGCCCAGGCCTGACCCCTGTGCCCCTGCCAGCCAAGGGCTGGCACTGGGAGGGCCTGGAGCTCCCCTCTGTAGGGCGACAGAGCAGGCCAGAGGGACAGGAACAGCCCTGGACTCAACTGCTCCCATTGGGAGGAAATTTGCTTCCGATGCAGGCACAAATGTAGACATGTTCCCGGGCGCAGTTTACTGCACCTTATTTTGATGCACAGTAATCTTAAAGCACATTAATTACATGTGTAGCCATGTCTAGGGAGTAATTTAGAGAGTACCCTTAAGTTGAAGAACTTCGTTTTTCCTTTTCATCCTTCTTTACCTTACTTTTAAGATGACTTACATTTCCATAATCTTTTGAATTCTGAAGAAAGGTCTTTAAAAGCCCACAGTTACTGTGTGTTTTCAGTACAGGTAAAGGCTTGCTTCAGTGAAGTATCCATTACTCAGGAAAGCACTTTAGCATGTTCCTAAAACCAACTGAAGTCAATGAGATTCAGAATTTCCTTAGAATTGAAGACATCCTTACCTGTCTTCCTGAATTAAAGCCAACAGATACAGAATATGAAATATGAGATGGAGAATATGCAATATGAGATATATGTATGCATGTGTGTATATATGTATATATGAAATAAGAGATGCAGAATATGCACTTTGGGGTTGTGGGCTCAGAGTTTAGGCTCCTTGTTTAGGTGTAGATAATAAGCTATCATTTTTAATTGAAAATTTTCTTTTCATATAGTTTTATTGAAACATTTCCCTTTTTATTGTTTTAAACCCAAGACTCCCTAGCACACCCCATCTTATTCCCTTTATATTCAATGATTATAGCATTAGCTTTCAATATTTTTTCATAACTGATTTCCAAAAAAGTAATAATCAGTATAGCACTGCACACTATACACAATTACAGCTTTGAATTTTGGTTAACTTATGAAGGATGTGGCATTTTCATGTGCAGTGATATATCGTTAAAAGAGTCATACTCCATCAGTTCTTTTGGGATCTAGTAAACATTTTTAGCCTTTTTTTTCCTTAAAAAAATCATGTGAAGGTGTTTGTAGAAAAATCTGACTACTTCAGAGGTATGTTGGTACTGAGAATTTTATCCTTTCATCTTTGCTAATCCTTCCATGACACCATCTTCTAAATACATTTATTTTGCTTTTAAAATCCTTTTCTGACATATTTCTATGAAGTGAGTGCTGATTTTTGCTACTTTCCCTTATTTCTGGTCTGATTTCTTCCCTTTAGAGTTGTCATGTTGTCTTTACTGTTATCTCTGGTGTGACAGTCATAAAAGTATGTTATGATTTTGTTACTCCTAGTCTGCCTTGATTGCTTTTAGAGCTTTACCCAGAAAATAGTTTGATTAAGTACCAGCTGCACAGTAGCATAATAGCTTAACAGTATCATATATACACTACACAGGTGATCTCAGGCTTTGGCATCATGCACTACAATACTTTGGGCCTCCTAGAAATGTCAGAAGAGTAAGAGAAGTGGTATAGGTGGCATGGTAGGTGGCACTCTTAAGTCTTGTGTAGTATTGAACCAGTGCTCCAACAGGACATTGGTGACCTGTTTGTGATTTTCAGAAGTCCCTGTATGAGTTACTAGAACAGTGGAACATGTTCTCTTGCTCACTTGGGTATTTTTAACTATCCTACATGATGCCCATTGGTTGTAAAACGGAAGCCTTATCCACAGTATTTTTCAAATAGCGCGATTGAGATCATTAAATCAGTATCTTAATCAAATGGAAGTTTGTATGACTCTCTTTGGCTAAATATAGCAACCCCCCTGATGTTTCCATGTTCTCAATTCGAGTTCCCCTAGTGCAGTACAGGCTCCTCTGCTCGGGCCTGTAGGGGGGCTGTCAGGAAAGCT